TGGAGGGCAACAGCCCCCAGAAGAGATGTTCTTCATGAAGGAAACCTTTGACAATGCTAGTGGCCCTGTTGCTCTCATCCATGCTGTGGTGAACAAACTGGATGAAGTGAGTGAAACCCTTGTCATTCTAATATTTTGCAATTCTAAGCAGAAATATGACATATCATATATATCATATACAATAATTACTAAAGACAAATTCGAGTGTTGAAACAAATTTCAATGTGGAAAGCACCCTAACAAGTAGTGCATTATAAGGCGAATATCATAGTTGTATGCAGTATGCAATTATTTAATTTATATCTATTCATACGTTATATATATTTTAATTGCACTCAATCAAGTGGTTAGTTCAAGGGTAGGAAAATGGTGATCCATTTGTTCAATTCTCTGAATCAAAAAAAGTTTTCTGATTTTGAACTGGAAGAAATTCATGAACTGAACAGGGATTGTGTCTTTGCATTATTCGGGAATGTATTTGTACTGCTATTTTAATTACTGAAGATGTACAGCAGTACTTCAGGCCTTATGTACATGCTTTAATTTTGTCCACCATGGTTTGGGAATGATAAATGCAATCATTTTATGTAGAGACACATTGCTTCAATTGTTGAATGAATGAATGTTATCAAGGTTGAGATATTTGTCAGCATCAAAAAATGCATTTCTGATTTTATTATGAGCAAAGCTAGTGCCAATAAATTTGCTCCTACCAACAGAAAGTCTATCTCAGGTTCTTGATATATTATCTTTATATGAAGCTGTTTGGTTAGTTGACTTCATATTTCATCATGTCCAATGGAAGAATAATGGTCTGTAACTCAGCATCTGCTTTTCTCTGTATGCTTTTTCACTGGTGTCATGTTGAGTCTTCAGTCAAGATGAATCCTCACCCATCATGGGAGTGTCTTAATTAAATGTTAATGAGAGCTGTGCTTTTTATGGGCTGGTGACTTTTTGCTTGTACAGAATACATTCTCAAGAAATATGCATAGGGTGATACATTATGTATGTTTATGCTTTGAAGGTGGAATTAGAAGAGGACTCCATTCTGAGTCAATTCATCTCTGGAACTCAAGCCATGGCTCCAGAGGACAGAGGCAATGCCTTGCTGGAGAATGCCGACATCTTGTCTGCATTGAAAGCAGCTCAGGACCACCATC